TATTTTTATCCTTTATACCTAATCAGACAAAAAACCCTAAACCCTAAACCCTAAACCCTAATAAACCCCCTTTTTTTTTTTTTCCTTCTGTTGCTCTTCTCTGTTGCTGCAGCAGCAACAGACTCGAAACCCTAAACCCTAAACCCTAAACCCTAATCTTCTATTCTCCTTATTCATTCTGTTGTATATCTTCTCTTCTTTATCCTTTCCTAACCTACCTTCTAGGGTTTAGGGTTTAGGGTTTAGGGTTTAGGGTTTACCACTCCTTGGGCCTTCTTGTGCTTCTTCTCCTCTTCTTCTTCTTTGCTGCAGCACCTCTAGCAGCAGCAGCATAACTAAGCAGCAGAAAGACTAGCTAGCTAGCTAACTAGCTAGCTAGCTAGCTAGCTAGATCTATATATACTCCCTTTATATACTTAGTACCCTACAGCTATATATATATGCCCTTGGGGGCCCCCGGGGGGCCCCCCTAGTAAACCCTTATTTTATCTGTACCCTTTTATCTTAGTTTAGTTAACGCTGCAGCACAGCAGCATCTTCCTTCTCTTCCTTTTGTATACAGACAGCAGCAGCAGCAGCAACAGCAGCAGCAGCAGCAGCAGCAGCAACAGTAGCAGTAGAGGGACCCACAGCAGCAGCAACAGCAGCAGCAGCAAGACCAGAAACAACAGAAGCAACAACAACAACAACAACAACAACAACAACAACAACAACAACAGCAGCAACAGCAGATAACCCAACAGCAGCAGCAACAGCAGCAGCAGCAATCGAAGCAGCAGCAACAACAATCGAAGCAGCAGCAGCAGCAGCAGCAGGCTGTGGATGTGTCCTCCTTCCGGTGAGGGGGGCCCCCAGGGGCCCCCCTTGGGTACTCTAGGGTACCCTATACAGCAGCAAACATCTCCTTTTATGTTTGCTGCTGCTAATAATGTAAAGTCTCCTTTGTTAATCAGCAGCAACGAGACACTATCCTTTCCTGCTGCTGCTGCTGCTACTGCTGCTGCTGCTGCTGCACCTGCTGCAGCAGGAGCAGCAGCAGCAGTTGCAACACGGTTAGCAGGAGCAGCACCAACAAGCTCAGCAGGCGATACAGGCCACAGTAGCAACAACAGCAGCAGCAACAGCAACAGCAGCAGCAGCAGCAGCAGCAACAGCAGCAACGGCAACAGCAGCAGCAGCAGCAGCAGCAAGGAAGAAGTATTATTATCTCGTTTATGTGTCTCCTCTAGAGATCCATTGAAGGGTTTATTAAGTATGGGGGCCCCTGGGTACGGGGGCCCCTTGGGGGCCCCCTTTGCTGGACAATTTGTTGGTTCTACTGGATCATCTGCTGCTGCTGCTGCAGCAGCAGCAGCTGCTGCTGCTGCTGCTGCTACTTCCTCGTCCTCTTCTTCTTCTTCCTTATTAGGGGATATAAAATTATCTGCAGCAGCAAAGACACGAATAAATTATTTTGTTCCCTCTATGTTATCTGCTGTTTGTTCCCTTTTATTAACAGAAGAAGAAGAAGAAGAAGGTATTTATGATCTAGAGGCAGCAGCAGCACAGCAGCAGCAACAACAGCAGCAGCAGCAGCAGCAGCAGCAGCAGCAGAAAGAGCAGCAGCAGACGCAGAAGCAGCAGCAGGGAGATTCTCCTCCTACTAGTGCTGCTGCTGGAGGGGAAGGAAGCATCTCAGGGGGCCCTACAGCAGGAGCAGCAGCAGCAGCAGCACCAGCAGCAGCAGCAGCAGATGCAGCAGCAGCAGCAGCAGCAGCAGCAGCAGCAGATAAGATGCATACATTAAAGTTTTGGTTAGCAGAGGCAGAAGGAGAGACAGCAGCATGGAGATCTAAGGCAGAGGAGCTGCAGCGCGGCGTGCTGCTGCTGCTGCAGCAGCAGCAGCAGCAGCAGCAATTACAGCAGCAGCAGCAACAATTACAACAGCAACAATTACTACAACAACAAGCTATTGCTGCACAGCAGCAGCAGCAGCTAGCAGCAGCAAAAGAAGAAAGGGATCTGCTGCTGCAGCAGATTGCTCGCCTAGGGGCCTCCCTAGACACTGCAAAACAGATGCTAGCAGCAGCAGAACAATCTGCTGCTGCTGCTGCTGCACAATCTGCTGCTGCTGCAGCAGCAGCTAATCAACATTCAGATAAACTACTCGTCAGTAGGAAATTACACCACTTTAGCCAGAGGGTTTAGGGTTTAGGGTTTAGGGTTTAGGGTTTAGGGTTTGCGGGTATGTATAGACCATTACATTAGGGTTTAGGGTTTAGGGTTTAGGGTTTAATGATAATTAATGTTTAGGGTTTCTTCCTTTTTAATTTTTCTTAATTTCACAATTTTTATGTTTTTATAATTTTTAGGGTTTAGGGTTTAGGGTTTAGGGTTTAGGGTTTAGGGTTTAGGGTTTAGGGTTTATGAATTTTTTTTTTTTTTTATAGGTGGATGAATTAAATCGTGAGCGTCAGCAGATAAAAGAATTAATAAATAAAAAAGAGGAATTAATGATTTC